TGATTGATAAATCTTTTTTAGGAACTTCGACATCATTTAATTTTATAGTTTTATATAGACTAGAGGCAATAAATGGTGCTGAAATTATTCCAGCTCACCCTACCCATATTTTATTTTGTTCAATTAATACTTTCCCTTCTAAATTTTTAGGACAGATATTTGTTCTATCTGTCCTATGGATAGGTAATATCAAGTGATGACCTAAGATAAAGTTATTTTGTAAATTATTTGAGAAAAAATTTTGTTTTGACGCCCAAGATCATTTAAATATAAATAAAATAAGGGGTCCTTTTTAAAAGAAATACTATTCCCAATATTATTGGTAGCAACTATTTTTCCATGTAATTTTATGGCCAACATTTTTCAAGGACTATTAGTAATATTATGGACAATTCGAAAGCTCGAATTTTTGATGAAACCTTTGATTTTAGTAGCAATGTATATAGCTTTCACGTAATTTTCCTCATTGGTACACAATAAAAAAAGGTGTGGAATCGTTAAAAATATTATCTATATTTCCTTCCGTATATTTTGAATAGATTTGTATTTGGGTGTTTTTAATATGGTTTTATATAAATTATATTCTGTAACTGTTTTGGGTAAACAAATTTAAGGCATTAAAAAAAATTTTAAACTAATATTAAAAATAAAATAATCGTATTAATATAAATTTTCAAATTGTAATAATGGATATTCCATGAAAAAAAATCCAGCCCAATAAAATTCTTAATTCATATTAAAAATAAATTTTCATTTCAAAATGAAATAATTTAGAAATTCTATGAAAAAATCTCGCCCAATAATTACTAATTTATATTAAAATTAAATTTATTGATAATTCATATCAGTTATTTCAGAGATCTGGTCCGGGTATACTCATGTCGTATTTTAATTTTTTTAATATAATATCCAGGCTAGACCGTATATTTTAAAACCAAATATTTTAAATCGCCATTACAAAAAATCCGGGTCGGACCTTGCAAATGGTACATCTGCATGTCTCTGAATTATTTTATTCCTTAAAATTTAGAAGGGAAAATATTAAAAATTGAACAAAATATGGTTAAGAAAGTGTGCTGGAAGAATTTCAGCACCATTTATTGCTTCTTGTCTAATACTATAAAATTAAAAGATTTTAAAGTTCCCAACAAAGATATATCATTAAAGTAACCACATATACTCCTCAAATTAATTCATGTATATAAAATATATTAATTAATTGTTTAAATTGCTAAAATATTTAGGAGATTCCAGAATGTCACAAACTATGGGAAACCATCGTTATGCAATTGCAAAATGGGTTGCATGAATAAAAGGTGTTTTAATGTTTCAAGAAGAACCTTAAATTTCAACGAAATGTCATATAGCATTGAAGAATTGTTGCAATATAATTTTTTTTAAATTCGGATTTTTTTAAAATTATATTCATGTGAAAATATTTAATATTTAATATATATTTATAAAAACAAAAATTTAACCTTATTAATTTTTTCTTTTACTTTTTTAAAATTTTCTTTTTAAATCCCTTATTTTGGCCTTTTAATTATATGGTGACAGCCAGACGGCAAAAAGAGAATAAAAAGTAGAGATCTGCAAAGTTAAGCCCTGCTGGTACCTGGCCCGAGTCCGGCCAGGCCCGAACGGGCTTCGGGCCTGGCTCAGGCCCAATTCTATTTAAAATAATTCGGGCCGGGTCTAATATTTTTAAAAAAAATTCGGGCCGGGTCAGGTCGGATCTTGGGAATTTTTTTAAATTTATCAATTTTATATTGAATTTTTTATGTAAAATAAAAAATTTTTATTTTATTTATTGAAACTAAACGCCATATAACATATGTCTTTTATTTTGAGTAATTATAAAAAATAATTTATATTTTTAAATAATTTCTGGCCGGGCCGGCAATCTTTTTTAAAAAATTTCAGGTTCGGGCCGGGCCGGCAAAACCTTTAAAAAAAATTTTAGGCCGGGCCTGAAAAATTAGGCCCGATGCAGATCACTAATAAAAAGTAATTATATTATTTTATTATTTTTTTTCATGGAATTTAAGATCTGAAATCCCCAAGTTGTGATTTCGAATCCCACATGATTTCATATCCCAATACGACATATATATAATCTAAGTAAATGTCTACATAAATTCTAATAAATGATCAAAAAGAAATATAAAAATTATTCCTAATTATTTTCAATAAATTTTCTTTTTTCTATTCCAGGTAGTTGCATATTTTTTCTTGGCCATATATAACTTTCATTGAGCTTTTGCTACCCATTTTTTCCTTAACCATACGTAATAGTTGTCATGCTTGATTTATCCATTGCATCATTGGTCAGTCATTATAATTCTATCTTAAGCTTGGTATTATTAATCCAGCATTATTGTAGTTAATTGCGCAGAATCATTCTAGTTGATTAAATATTACGAAGAATTGATCCAATGTTTTTTTTTAAATTATATCCAAAATGTAATCATTATTCTTTCAACATTATCCCATATACACTTTCCCTATCAATCGTAATCCTAAATTTCAAATATTAAACCAATTCCAAAATGTAATCATTATTCATTCCTTTTAACATAAATAACATTAAATAAATAAAATCGAATTAAATTCATAAATCTTGCAATTGATAATTTTTTATTCCATATTTTTCATAATATATTTAGCCTTTTCTCTAAAAAAATTATAGAAATCTGGACAAAAAAATTTATAATGGTATTACTTGTATATTGCTTTTATAAATTTAAATTCCACTATTCCTCTCATTTGTGATTATAAAAAAAATTCTTTCAAAGTTAGCATTATGAGCTGATATAAGAAAATTGTAGCTTGCTATAATCAGTTCACTATATTCATGTACTAAAATATCATAGAAATATTTAACCCATTCTCGGCCAAGAGGAAGTTTTGTAATTCAACGCACCATTTTTCAAAAAATGTAGATTTTTCTAAATCTGACTACTTGGCATTTTTATTTCCATCCATTGGAAACATTCCAATTCTCTACTTAGATTCTTTTTACATTTTTATTCTTTATTTCAAATATTGCTTTTACTTTTAATGCAATATTTCATTCATTCTTTCAGTTAACAAATTTTTTAATATTTTTAAATGATTTAACATTTAACTGTTTATTTTATTTCACAACTGATTTAATTTTTTCACAAACATATACATCAAGGAATGGACAAGCCACAGATATGCCTTTTTTAATATTTATTTCAAATATTGCTTTTACTTTTAATGTAATATTTCATTCATTCTTTCAGTTAACAAATTTTTTAATATTTTTAATTGATTTAACATTTAACTGTTTATTTTATTTCACAACTGATTTAATTTTTTCACAAACATATACATCAAGGAATGGACAAGCCACAGATATGCCTTTTTTAAATCATTTCAAAAAATTCTAATAATTAGTGAATTGTTAATTGAAAAAAAGTACGATTTTAAAGCTTTGTACATTTTAAGAAATCGTTGGATATAAGGAAATAAAAAGCTATCGTATTTTTGAGTGATATTGTTAATCAAGCTCAAAAAATTCAGAAAAGTATATGACGAGGATACATATAAAAAATTCATGAAAAATAAAAACATGACAAAAAAATTAACAAAACTTATGATGTAATTTTAAAAAAATTTTCTTCCTGTAAGAATATGTAAAAAAATTTATTTTTAAAAAAGAGGAGAAATTAAAGTAAAATAATAGATACCGGTTATAATTTAGGACATCTTATGAGAGGACGTCTGATAATCCTAGCTAAAATAAAACTTTTTTGAATGTTACGAAAAAAATCTTTTTTTTAAACAAATTGATATTTTTGATTATGGCACTTTGCCTTTTATAGGCATACTTTTTAAGAGAAATCCTATGCTCATTATTGCATTTGTTAAATTTTATGTTATATCATAATTTTATATTAGGAATAAAATAAATTTTTATTTTTATGATAATATGAATGGTATACTTTAATAAATTTTATTGTCAACAATTAGTGAATCTTGCTTATTCAAAAATATGAGGAAGACATGACACAAAGAATTTAAATAAATTTCAAGAATAACGATTGGTTATAAATTATTTAAAATATGAATCATTTTTATCATGCACATATCCATCTTTATGTTTCCCTTTTTTGCCACCTCCTGTAATGGAAACCCTAAAATCAGATGTATTTGATAATAATTTTTTGAACACACATAAAAATAATTCTTCATATGACCTAGATATTGCGATTAGCAATTATGATCAATTGGGGAAAAATACAAAAAATATTATATTGAATTCTCTATATAACAATTTTTTTGATTATGATGATAAACGATTAGTGTATTTAGATAATATTAATGGTAATACCGAAATCTCCTCTAACCAATTAAAGGTATTTAATGATATCACCAAAAATATAAGAGCCCATATTCATTATCAACCAAATCTACACTATAATTCAACTTTAACTTATGTGTCAAGTCACGATAATCTATTTAATTTTAACGATATATTAGAAGAGAAATTTAAGTATTATTTAACATATTCTCAAATATTTGATACCCATGATTTGATTAATTCTGAAGTATACAATTCTTTTGAAAATACAAATAAAGGATTAATACCTGACATCACTTCATATAATTATTTTAAATGGTATAGTTACTATTACATGATTAAAGCATATTTTGAAATAAAAAATAATCTGGATTTTCAAACTCTGATGATGCATCTAAATTCTGAAATAATGAGATATGTATTTTGTACCAATACTGATAATCAAAATTTTAAATATCTGATTTGGAACAAATTTATATCATCCATATATTTTAATAATGAAAGTCAATTAATTGACAATCATGATATAACTGGATTTTCCAATAAATATAAGAATAAAGGGAGTAAAATCAAGTCAATAAAAGCAAAATTCAAAGGATATAACCTTATTAAGAATTCATTCTTACATAATAAAAAAAAAAAAATTAAATTGGATAATGAATATAGTAACATAGCAGGTAACAATTTTCATTTAAAACTCATATCGATAAAATATAATATTATAGAGAAAAACAATTTAAAGGAAATTCATTGCAATTCAGTTCAATCTCAATTAAAGTAAAGTTGTTATAAATTACCATTATAATTGTTTTAAAAAAAATGTATTTGATGTTTGATAGAATAAATAGAATCCACAACATCGGAGAGGGAACGGTAGATACCATTTACTACCATATATCTTTAAGAGGGAAGAGGACCTCCAATCAAATTTATTATAGAGGACTGGCTAAATTACAATATAATTAGAATCTTTGAAACTGATTTTCCATATTCAATGCATTTTATTATAATCTAAAACAGATAAAAGTTTTGCCAATCAATAATAGCATTCTATTTGATGTTTTATCTTTAATTTCTAGATCATTAATAAAATAGTATTTCGAAATGTATTCTCTTTATATATATGGAGTTATGCAATTGCTTGTAAATTATTTACATAAGTTTATGAAATTGTGGATCACCTAAAAATAATAATTGCAGGGAAGACCGGGGATAGTATTATCCCGGTGGTAATTTCTTGGCAAATAATTTTAAAATGAATAATTATTAATATTTGAAATTTAAAAAATAAATGTTTATTATAAGATGCTTCAATGGTTCTAAAAAAATTTCGAGAAATATGTTCATGAAAAGTTTTAAATGCAAATGCAAATTTTAACACGTCAAAAAACTTTTTAATTTTTATAAGCAAATTTTTTTATAAAAGTTATTCAATCCAAATATTAATTCTACCTAAGTATTAAAGTTATTTGATCATGTATAAAAATATTGACAATATTTATGGTAATTTAATATCTTGAATTTAAATTTTAATTAAATGTGAAGACCTGGGTCAGGTTTTGCGAAATACGAATGGGCCATTTTAGCAGGGATTATTTTGAATAAAAAACTAAGAACATTAGAAGCCACTAATTTGTCTAATGTCACTAATGACAATAAGAAGATGATTGACTTATTTTTTGTAATGAATATAACAGTATATCGGACCGTTTTAAAAAATCGACCCAAATTGGGCCGTGTAACAACACAAAAAGTTCTTTATAAATTAGATGAACCTGGTAAATTTAAAATGTTTGACAATTTAATTTCTTTTTTTACTTAGAAATAACATTCTTATATAAAAAATTTAAAAAAATCTAAAAATAAAGAAGCTATGATATGCAATGCTAAAGGGTAATAGGTACCACGGGTGTTTTTTATAATTCGTTTTCATTTATTAAAATTTATATTTATAAAAAACTAGAAGATTTTTTTCTAATATATAAATTTCTTACTTTTAAACATATTGGAAAATTCTTCATCTATTTTTTACGCTTCAACTTTTTATGGACAATATAACCCCGGTCTCTCTTTATATACATTTGTTTTGAATATGTAATTACTATATTTGTAATATTATTTTTATTAATATTTACTATATCATACAATTATCAAATAAATATATATAATTATTTTATTATCTGATAATTCTATAAAATTTCCTATTCCATATTTCCAAAAACAAAATAATATATTCAAATTAAAAACAAAAATTAATAATCAATGAATGAAAGTGCTATTATTTCTTTTTCCAAAGTCCTTTATTTTTCTCTTTTTCTAATCGTCACCTCACGTATTTTCTCATCGTCAACAATCTCTAACTTGTGAAACCTTTGTGTTAATTTTATCAGCTCCCCTCAACTCTCCTTCTACCTCTCAATATTGAATTCCCCACTACCCAAATCCAAGCTTTTTTAAAATCACTCTTCTCCAGGTTGTTATTTTTTCAATACTCTGTATATGATGTACTCGTACACCAATGCTACGATTCCTCTCATCCTTCATACAATTTCGACCATCAAATCCATTACTCCTCCATGGTCATCTATTCTATTCCTATCCTCCTTTACGTTTTCTAACATTTTTTTTTCTTTTTTGTGTGTGATTAATTTTATAAATATGTACCGTTAAGTTTATATGTAATTCATGTTACAATTATCATCTTTTTTATGTGTATTGTTGTTACGTTCAATTATATGTGATTACTGTTACAATTATATCTATGTCCCGTTTAAATGCAATTAGTTATAATATATAAGTTTTATTAATGTTTTCTTTTTTCTATTAATTCTTATATATTCCTATGTATGTTTTCTCCCTTCCTATTCCATTGATAATTCTTTTACCCTCCTCTATTCTCCTCTTCTTTCCTTTGAATTTTTATCTCTCCCCATCTCTTACTTTCTTTCCTTCTTTTCCAATTAGAATAATTTCAATATTCGAGTCATTCTTCTATGAAAGAATATTCCTATTGCACCTCTCCTACTTTATTTTCTTGTTCAATTTGAATCCTTCTTTGAATTATTCGCGAATTATCTTATTTATCCAGCTATCAATTCAATTATTCTATTCTGTCGAATTCTCCTAAATCAAATAATTAAATTTCATATTGACTCTTACGATTATACTTATATTTATATTCACAAAATTCCTTCGAATTTGAATATTAATTTTAATTTTCATAATTCGCCATTGGTCTAACCGCTTAATTAACTTCTTCCTTTCTTATCCTCTTCTCCTTAATTTCTCCTCATGCCTAGATATAATAATTAACCAATACTAAATCCAATTCCTGTCACTTTATCTATTATTTCTTTTATCCATCTATTTAATCCTGTAAACATTCTTACCCATACCGCTAGACCTTTCGCGTATTGATAAACCCTACGTTCTTTCTATCCGTTCCATATCAGTCTTCTTTAATGTATCTAAAAATAATCTTGTTCTCCCTTAAAACATTTCGGACAATGTTCTGCCTGCATCATTTATACTATTAATATTATACAACCACAAAATCCATACTTCTCCCCCTTCTTCTCTTGACTTCTTTAACCACGATTTCCAAACCCTATCATCCGTCACCTGTCCATTGGAACTTGGAGTATGGTGGTGATAAAATGTGTCTAAAACCTAAACGTTTCAAAATTTACTAAACTTTTCACTTATAAATGCTGAGCCTATTTCTATTAATCCGTATCTACCCATCCATAATACTAATCTTTGGGAAGAGAAGAGTGGTAGATTATTCTCTCTGTCCTTCCTATACGTAACTTCTACACCCCCCTACCATTATTTTTCATTTTTGTAACCTTGTTGATAGCATCATGTGTTCCTTTTTAAATAACCTTATTATAATGGCTTATATTAATGGCTTATAGTCTGTCTATATCGTAAACCTTCTACCCAAACATATTTTCTGCACTTTATTAGTCCAAAAATTACATCTAACGCTTCTTCTCTATTACTAATCTGCTCGTCTTATTTCCTCGAAAAATATATTAATGGTATCTCATAATTATCCACTAACTGTAATAAAGCTCCTCCAATTCCTTTCATTGAAGCAATCACTACTTATATCACTTCCTTTTCTCTCTCAAAACAATTTAAAATTTGTCTTTCTTCTATCAATTCTTTATATCTTGCTCCATTCTCCATTCAAATCTTACATCTTTTTTTGCCAACTGATATAATGGAAACTAATTCTGCAAACGAATTTATAAATCTATGATAATAATTTATCATACACAAAAAAGGATTGCATTTCCTTTTTGTTCAAAGGCTGCTTCATACTTTTTATATTGTATTTAACGGTTCTACCTCATCTCCTCTTATTTTATGTCCTAAATATTCAACCTTTTTCACTCAAACTATACTCCTCTTTTTACTTGCTCTCAGACCCTTCTCTTTTATTCTTTTTAACACTTCTAATCTCTCATCATGTTCTTTAATATTTTTTCCTATTACCAATACAACATCTTTATTACAAAATGCTCCTTCTATTCCTTGAAATATTCCAGCCATTGTTCTTTGAAATACCGGAGCAAATACTTAAACCAAACGGTAATCTTAAAAACGCAACCCCTTTTGCGTGGATAAAGTTAATTACCTGCTGGCCTGAAAACTAACCGGCAATTGTAAAGTATCCGTTTGAAAAATCTAATTTGAAAATATTTTCCCTCTTTCAATACCGCTAGAATTTCTTCAATTCCATATAATGGATATTTAACCTCCATTATCAAAGGATTCAAAATTATTCTAAAATAGGCGCATAATCTCACATCTCCGTTAGGTTTCTTTATTGGAGCGGAGTAGTCCACTCACTATACTTGTCTAATAATTCCTATATCTCTATTCATATGGTACTCTTCTCACTGGACAATACTTTGGTTCAAAATCTTTTTTTAACCTTATTTCTACTTCAAAATCCTTTAAAAGCCCTAATTCTTTGTTCTTCTGAATGATCCTTCTTTGTTATTCCTCTTTCATTGGCAATTTACCCCTAAATGGAAATCCAATTTCACCGATTTCCCTTTCTAATTCCCTGACTTTCATCTTCTTTTATTCAGTACTATACACGGGAATATATTCTTCACCAATTCCCTCTTGTTTAAAAATATTTGCCCCTTCTACAGGCAGTATACTTCTCTCTGAGCATCTTTCTAATTTATTCATTTTTATTTCTTTTTCTCTATCATCCCTTTTGGGAAATATCCCCCACCAATTTATTTCTGGGCTTAATAATTTAGACCAATACCATCCCATTATATTATCTGTCTCTCTCTTTAATTCACATATTTCTAATCTTTGTCTATATTTCCGGGGTGGCCCAGTGGTGTATGATGCATATATTATCTGTCTCTCTCTTTAATTCACATATTTCTAATCTTTGTCTATATTTCCGGGGTGGCCCAGTGGTGTATGATATATGCTTGGAAACCGTAGGTCCCAGGTTCAATCCTGGTAAGGAACTAAAAATTTTCAAGTTTTTCTTTGATGACGGATGGGTATAGACATATGATATGATAAATTTCTGAGCTGAGAAGCGACTCCGGTCACCGACAGGCTTGGACAGCTGGGTGCTAGGATACTTGTCCAATAAACCAAATAAGACGGCCAGCTGAACTCATGGGTCAGATAATAACAATTTCTTGGCCTTCAAGCTCAATGTCTACCAAGTTACAATGGACTTGATAACGATACTCCGGTGGGAGATTCATTGAGATTGATACTCCGGTGGGATCAAGATTGGGATATTTTTCGATTTGATACTAATCGATCACAATATAAATTAGATAAAAATAAATAGCAAGAGTAATGGAGATAGATAGTGAAGGAGTTACCACCAGAGCTAAAAATAAATAAAAAATTCTAATCTTTGTCAGATATCCCAATTTCTCACTTCTACCCAAATTCTTCTTCAGATGTGAATCTAGGATCCATCAAACTGATGTATTCATCTATCTAGATATATTTTTCTTATAGGCCATAGTTTTTTACTCTCCATTAAACTCATATGGTAATCATTGCCCCGTATCTAATAACGTAGTTACAATGGGCAATTTTCCCTTACATTCACTTCCCCAATCTGATAATATTTTTCACTATGAAAAATTTTATACTTCTATATAGTAACTAAGTCCAAATCTCTGGCCATTTCATCCACCCAAAATTCATTCTTGATTATACTTCCTTGTTTATATTGTAGTGAAAGTCAAATGCCCAATTCATCATTTAATAACGCCCCCTAAAATGTTACTCATGAGACAAAACGCGTTCAAAGAGTGCATATTTAGCAGAAGGCGGGGAACGCCATAATTTGAAAGGACACTTCCAAAGACAACTTAGAATGCGCTTGAAGGGATAATATTTGACGGAACGTGATTAACCATACTTAGAATCCATAGCGTCATTAAAGAGGAACGCACAAGAGCTCCAGCCCCTAAAAATTTTGAGAATTGTTTAAAAAAAGGCGGCGGCCTTAGACTGACTAAGAGGGATAGAAGTTGAAAAGACTACAATGCCGGCTAAAAAGTAAGGGCAAGGTGCTAAAAAATTAAGCAATAGTTTGGTGGGTAAAAAATATTTTTACAGTAGGCACAGATGAGTTTAAAATATTTTAATGGCGAAATAGGCAGGGTCGGCCTATATTTATTAAACATAATTTATAAGTTTAAGTATAAATATAAATATTTTAAAATAAGTAAACAAGGTAACACTTTTAAGCAAATGATGAGTATATGAAATGGGTAGCAGGTTAAATTTCTTAAAATGGGCGAGTAAACTCTTGGTATAAAACCCGTAAAAAATATTTTTGGGCAAGGGGATGGTCTTGTTGCCTTCAAATTATTTATCTCATTAAGATGTTTAGGCCCGGATAAAACAGTTCCTATATTGGGTTTCAAGGCTGTGATAATCATTTTATCTCATTACTCAAGTTAGATGTTGATTTTAAATGTTGCATTAAATTGACTGTTGGTGACCGGATAACCCATAAATATTAAGCGTTCAAAAATTCCCAGCGATAAAATATTGCATTTACATTTTTTTTATTGCTCATTTTATCGGCGTTTTTTATATGTACAAGAATAAATAAATACCAGATACAGAGCATAAAATATAAATGCAAACTAAATCTGTTTACAATAAGAAATCACTATATACAGGAGAAGTTACTATTACCTATAGCTGATTATTATTGGGTTCTTACTACACTTTTGGTCAAAAATATCAGGGTTAAAATATTAATTTTAGAAGACCATTCCACCCTTTGTTTTAAAAAACCTCAAATATTTTAAATCAATTATTTTAAAATAAAATATAATTCTTATTATGTTATCGATAGAGAGACCAGGGCTAGTAGGTAAAATATTTTTCAAAATCATCATAGCCCCGAAAATAATGATCTTTCAAAATACCAATTGATACCTTAAACACTTAACTATAAATAAATATTGTTATATTTTTTAAATATTTAGTTTTTTTTTCTCCAAATATTGGTAAAAGTCATTTTTTAAACCTAGTAGCCCCGAACCAGTGGTTAGTCGGATCATGGATGGGGCTAATCTAATCGTGGCTTATTAGGCTTCATATGAGACAGAAAAAATTATCTTCAGATTTTCATATATAACTATAATACTTTATTTATATAATATTCTTACAATTATAACATATAAAATAACAATCTTTTTTGGCACCTCAGCCCAACCTTTACATGCATTGAAACCAATCTTCAAAATTATGAAAAGTTTTATAGTCCTGTTTACATATATAAAACAAACATCTTTTATCAATTTTTTAACAATGTATTTTTTTATATTTTTTATTCTTTCGTTTTAATAGAAGCTGCTATTTATATGGGGATGAGGTACAAATCTCAGCCTTTATTTTCCTTGTTCCTTTATTTTGTGAATTATGATTATAAAATTGGAACCGGGATAAATGATGGACCTGGGTGATTTAGGAATATCATTTTTGGAAGAGGATGTTCAGGACTTTCTCATAATATAAACGATCTATCATGATTTGATGAAGGAATAAAATCCTCCTCCGAATATTTTCATTATAGGGGTATGTCTGTCTAAGAGTTGGAATTTATGAGTACAGTGTGGAGGAAGAGAAATATTATATCCATTACCTATATAATATTGAAGAGCATGATAAGATTGATGGGATATGTGATTATCCAAAATTAGCAAATTTTATATTTCTGGCTACATCTGGTATTAAATAATGTGACTTAAAAATATAAATTTATCCTCTTGCATACACCCAGATCCGTTGGATGCGCCAATACATCCCTGAGGACCGTCTCTAATAAAATGATTATAAATTTTTTTACCGAGAAAAATAAACATGGGGGAATGCGCTAACAGCCAGCGACATTGTTACAAGAATGCCTTGCTCTGCAGGTCTTAATTCATGCTGATTAGTTACTTATAGATTAAAATTTAGAACAGCTCCTTGATTAAAACAAGCAGTTTAAGCTAAACTAATAGCCTCAGAAGATCTTAGAGATGGATTTCTTCTCTTAAATAAAGAGAACCATTCTGGCCATTTTATTAGTTGTCCAAGATTTAGGTATTTTTATTTAATTGAATAGTGTGATAATAATCCTAATGTTAAGTGAAAATATTGTAATTTTTACGTCAAAAACATGTCATAACAGATAAAAATTTAATTAGCTAAATAATATAAATTATTTTCATATTATAGAATTCTATTTTAGAAATTTTTTTTAATTTTTAATCATTACTTACTTGAGCATATTTCTAATAATTAATTTCGGATATGGCCTCGAGTATGCCTAGCTCTTATAGTGCGGTCCAGGCCCGATAAAAAAGCATTTGATGTAAGAGTTTGACCAGAGCCCAAAGTTAGGTTAGAGCTTTGCAGGGGTGGCATTGGTCCGCCCATGCAGTGAAATATACTTATTGAGATAGACCCTTCTAAAGAAAAAACGGTAACTTTAAAATAAATAAATTTATAAATATTCAAACTATATCTTGAAGGTTAAATAAAACAATTTGAGGATATAAATTGATCATCTTAACTTTCCATCCTCTAATGAAACCCAGCTAGGTTCTCCTTGGATATGTTAAAAATCAACTTTTGAAGGCATTAAAAATCGGTTTTGTAGCTTTCGATAAATCATATTCTTTTTTTTCCCTTATATATCTTCATACACTTTATCACCTTTAATTTATAGTTTAAATTAATTTGTAATCATTTTATTTGTCCTAAAAGCATATCGATGAATATTGGAAAATCTTTGGACTTAAATTTTGAGACAAATACAATTAAAAATTACAAAAGAAAACCTCCAATTAATTTTTTCAAGAAGAAAATGAGATGCACCCACGGTAAATCTTAAATTATACTTTACATTTAAATGTTTACTAACTAGTTCTTAGCTTTGCTTCAGTAATATAATAATCCTATCATCTTATACTAACAATAGCCCACATAACCGGTACTCAGTTTCGACAAAATTTATCAACCCTAATAATCTCATATATATTTTAAGCTTAAAACACACCAGTCCTTAACCCATATCTAGTTTTGGTAAATATATCAAGCCCTAACTGGAGCAAGATATTTTTTTTTGAGAACAGGAAAGCAAAAGCAAAAAATATTTATACTACAAAAAAATGAACACGATTGAAATTTTATAAATAATAATTTTGCTTTACATTTATTTTTTTGAAATTTTTGCTATGAATAGCTGGAAGCCCTCCCAAATCATAATCTCCGTCTCCTCATAACTGGTGAACGACTACGCATACCCATAGCTCTTCGCCTTGGCTGAAATGTAGTTGTCTCCTCCATTTGCATCATAGTATCGAATGTTAACTTCACCCGCTATAAATCTATTAACAAAATTTTATAGCTGCCCTCAAAATATTTATTACCCCTACATGGTATACCCACGGTCTCCCACTAACCTGGGACTACACTTTTATCACTTTTGCAGGGAAGACTAACCTCTTATTTTCAGCCATCGAAAAGGCAGAGGCCTCAAAAAAAAACAAATATGCTGGTCTCATAAACACAGTGTTCATAGTAATAGTTACTAACACCTTAGGCATGTTTGGATGGTATTTAATTTTGTCAAAACCATAGACAAAAAGGGAGACATATTGATATTACAGGCAACCCTAAAGAATTCCTCCTTCGTCAGCAGATTTCTTTCGAAATCTACAGTTCCATTTTCCTATGCATTAACCTCTCTCTAGGGTATAATATGTATTACTATTTTTTAAGTTCTTTTTAATTTATATAAAAAAAATTATATTCTTATGTTTTTTTAAAAATATATTCCACTTTAATATCGTATATATTGTATTTTATTTTCTAAATTAAAATTTTTTTTAAATAAAATTCACAATAAAAAATTAAATGTTTTTATCTCGTTAATTTTTACTGAGCACTCAAAAAATTTCATGGCCAGCCACATCATAATTGAATTTCTAAAATATTTATAATCTGTAGCCTTGAAAAGCTAGCCCAATCCGGATAATCTCAATTAGGTTGGGTACTCGGGGTGGGTATAGACCTTAAATTATATATAATATAAATATCCAGACCAACCCTGATAAATAAATATAATAAAAAAATAAAACAACGCCCATAACCAACTAGTTTGATTATTATTAGAAAGCGTTATTTCATTGCTACATATAGACTGGATTAATGCATTCGTGAGTTTATTAAAATAATATTGCATAAGATGATTTTTAGACGACCCTCTGAATTTCTAATAAATTCGTATACAAACTTAGGTTTGTGAAACTCATATTTGGGAAAATTTCAGATTAGCTGCTACATTTTTGGAAATCAGGAGTGGAAGTGTGAAAAATGACCCTTTTTATGTGTATTTTATTTAATTAATATTGATTTTAAAAACAATTGTTAATAATAATTTAGTATTGGAATAAAATGTAAACTTGATATTTTAAAAAAAAAAATTTTTGGCTCTAAGAAAAATATTTAAAAACCTCATATTGAAAAAAAAATCGCTCCGATTTTAATAAAATTTTAAACAAACATTACTATAACCATACAACATGAATACAAATGTTTATTAGCATTTAGATCATAGATAAAAACTAGTTTAAAAAATGGGCAATATTTTATATTTAAGTTCCTATCACAATGTTTTCAATATTTGGCATGTAGTCGAAGCTTTGGGATGCGGGTTAGACTTTGAGCCGGGTTGCACAAATTTAACATAAAAATATTGCATAGGTTATTAACCGATTTCGTTATTTTTTAATGAAAGAATGAAAGAAAAAGTATTAATTTAGAAGTTCAAGTATTAAAGATCTGCACGCCGGGAAATTAAAGGAAATAATTTTGCAAAATTTCGGAAATAAAATTTAAAAAATATATTTTTTTAAAAAATATTTGCGATAACCTTTATAAAATCTTAATGGACCAATTCATATCAAAAATTTTATAAATTGAATAGATTATCTAAATATTTTTATTATTCAATTACATTTAAGAATTATTTAGGGCACAAAACCAAGACTTTAATTAATATAAAATTTTCCATTAATTTTTTAACCTAGCCTAACCCTATAAAATGTAATCCCTGCTTAAGAAATAACTACTTTGTTGATAATAGAAAGAAATTACAATTTAAAAAAAAAACTATAACATAGAGGAGACCAGGGCTAGTTGGAGCAATTTTTGTCAAAAACATAGATTCGAAAATAATTGTCGTATTTGAATTTACAAAATACCATGAGATAACCCAAACACCTACCCAACCTTATAAATTGATAAAATTTTTAAATATTTATCCGTTTTTCTCAAGATTGATTTTAGTAAAAATGAATTTTTGCACTAACAAACCCTAAACCCGAGGCTTGTAGATATTATTATATTAAGTATACCATAGGATAATTAATATTATTATTCGATTACTTTCTCGGGTTATATAGATATAAATATATCATTTAAATAAAATTAATTCATATAAAAAATAACAAAATATGACATTATTTGAAATATAAAAAATGTGTAAAATTTTTAATAATTTTTTTATTATTTCGCTTTTCTATTGCTCATATCGAATTGATTTAAATATATAATACATAATTAAATTTGAATTTCCAACCATGTCTGGTTTTTAAATAAAATCTGCTTAACCGACAAGCCCTTGCACCTACTAGCCTTGGTCTCCTCTATTTTTTTGATGAGATTCTGCAGAGCCTGGCCCAATAACCCACGCACCAAAGCCTCGTTCACTGGTCAGCAATTTAATGTCGTGATAGGAAATTTTTAAAATATAATATATGATCATTATTATCATTTTAAAGAATAAAATAAAATATACCTTCTATATTATAAAAACTATTGCTCATTTTACTAGTTAACATTGATTTTACCTGATGTAAAGGCACATCTCTAAAAAAATTTATTCGTGTTAAATAGTGATATTAATATTCGCTTAAAATTTTATTTTTTATATTGTTCTGGGTGAAAGAAAGAAATTTGATAAAAAAAAATTTAAAACATTTTTTAAATTTATTTTCTAACTGTATTAAGTATGCGCTTTATTTTAATACTAAATTCATTATTTAAAAGCGGTAGTTTTTTAATCGATCATAATTAAATAAAAATCGACACTCATAAAAAAGTTATTTTTATGTTACTATTTATATGTCCAAAAATAAAACAGCTAGCGGGTTGAAATTTTGCCCAAATATAGGTTAAAAAAATCTTAGTTTTATTATTAAATTTCGCGAAAATCATATGCTGATTAAATTGTGATCGATTTGATAACATACTATAATTCATATTTTAATTTTAATAAATTAAAAAATAATAATTAAATAATGAGTGGGGCAAAAAACTTATTAAATTTTTAAAAAAAAATGTAAAAAAAAATGAAAAGCCGTGCTGTAGCCATATTGAAATTGGTCGGGGAGCCCAGCGGCATAGTTACATTGAGGTCGTGGCATGAGGGCTAAATTTCAAGGATATTAAAATAAATTACCAATATCTTAAACATATAGTTATATTTTTAGGAGGTGGGGTAAAACAATCAAATATTTTATAAAATTTTAAAATTACAATATAAACATCAAACAAATTACGTAAAATATCCAAAAGGAAATTAAGTACCCCCCCCCCTCCCCCATTGCAAGGTCTTGTAGGTGCCCATAAACTGTACTTAAACCCAAATCTCATTTCTTTCTTAAATTTGAATTAAAAAAGAAAATATATTTTTGTAAAATATATGCGTATATAAATATATTTTAGATATAAGACCATTTAAATGTCAATTTTGTGGATATTGGAGTCGCACAAGTAGTCAATTGAAAGTTCACATGAAACGACATCAAGGTTAAATTGTTATTTATTGAAAAATATCTAAAGGTTATAGAGGATTCACCGCCAAAAGTGACCATTTTTATTGGTCAATCCTATTTAATAAAGATCACCTCCTTTTCAATAAATAGACTGTGAAAATATCTCCTTAATTTTTAAACCATAAATATTATTTATTCATATAATTTATTTTAACTAATTTTTTTACAATTCAGGTATAAAATGCTTTTCTTGTAATATTTGCAATTACAACGGAGTTACTCAATCAGATCTTAACCGACATAAAAAGGCTCAATCACATATTTTAAGATCCATAAATACTTGCAATTTTTGTAATAGAGGATTTATGACAAAGTACATATTAGATCATCACTCTTGTGAATCAGAAGCTATTGAAAGACATATGTCAAAATCGAAATTAGAACTAATGTTTCTCGCCCATAATTCAAATAGTAATTAATTCATTTTCCTATATTTTAATCGACTGATCTCATCATAATAAATATTTCGCATAAGTGCCAAATCAAAATGTGTCAAATTATGTATGTTTTGTATTATATTATATAATTTTAAAATTGGAATAATATATATACCCATAATATTATAAAAGAGCATATTGATAATATAATTAAAACAAAACTTTTATTCCAATATATTATCAACTTATAAAAAATGTGATTTTCTTATAGAAACACGTATAAAAATATCAAAGCTTTTTTTGTTTTGCATATGAGGGATCCAATCATTGTCGATATCAGAGACCCGGAATTAATCTAATCAAAGGGGGAAAATATTTATTAGCTTAAAATCATATTTATGAAAATTAAAAATTTGCAGCGGGTGATTTCAAAAAATTCTAAACGATTTGAAAAATTGTAGGATAGTAACTCTGGATAAATAACCAGCAGAATTTGATATAATAATTTGGAAATCGTCAGCTCGTTGAAATATTCATTACATAAGATATTTTATACATTTCCACTTATTATTGGATACATATATTCCCAATATTGGCCTAGAGAGTAATTTAATCAATTTGTAGGGTTAACCTTCTCAACTTTATTGTGCAAATGGAATAAATAAAAATGTGCAGGCGCCTTTACAACACGTGAAGAATTAGATATAATTAATAGTATTATTAAATTTTGGAAATAATCATATAAAGATAATGAATGAGATATACATAAATATTTAACACATTTAAGAGGTACGAATTGCAAAAAGATACTTTTGCATATTCCAATAAATACATCTAGTTAGTTTTTTAAAAGTAATTATTTTTGCAAAAATGAACTTGTTACTTTAATAAAACTACCATGACTTACTAGAATTTAAGAGAATATTTTTGAATTTAAATAGAAAATGTTTTCTAATATTTTATAAAGTAGCAGAATATTCTGACATTTTTAAAATAAAATCAAGTTTAAAATTAAAATCTATAAAATTCGAGGAAAATTAATGTGATATTTTTATATTCTGATTAGCATTTTATCAAAATTAAAAAAAAGTACCCTAAATAGGTACTGTAAACCATTGCATATCAGGGGGTATAAAAATAAGATATTATATTATTAAAAAAAATCGAAATACGATATAGAATTTCAAAATTTATTGATATATTTTACATTTATTAGATCAATATTATAATTGATATTTGACATGTTTACATATCTTCCAAATTTACACGGTCGTCTTTTGTCATCATTAATCTTAAAATACATAAAAAATTTCAGTTATTCCACTTAGTAATGAAAATTGACTATGGGGTCTTATTTGTACTATTCTAATTAAATTTACTAGGGAATTTTTATTTAGTTATTTCCCGTTGAAATGTAAGTAATAATTTTTTGTCATCAGGATTAATTCGATTCCGTAACCTCTATGAATTTCATTGCTACATCAATAAAATTTCTAAAAATAGGCCACCAGAATTTTTTTACATATATTTATTCTATTTTGACAATATCTTAACTCTATGATTTACACCACCCATATGATGGGAATTAAATTTATGAAATTATTATTTTTGGAAATCTTGCCATGTTGCATAAAGGGCTAAGAGCTTTGCATATTGATGGAACTGTCACCATTGAACTAATGGTAATAGTAATTGCCCTTACTTTTATGCCAAAACTTAAGCATATCTATTTTAAATGTTACCCAATATGATTTCTATCACAAATTTAAATTTTATTCTAAATATAAAATTAAATTTAAGATATTGTTATTAAATTACAATAGAAATAAATGGAATATAAAATTAAATTTAAAAGACATTGTTATTAAACTACAATAGAAATAAATGGCAAAATTTTATGAAAGTTGTATGGGCTTGGTTTTTAATCAGACCTGGCGATTTCTGCAAAAAAAACATTTTCAGGCCAATGTCTAGCCCATATTTAAAATTAAAAAATTTTCATGAATTTCTATTTTATATTTTACCAAATATGATTTCTATCACAAATCTAAATTTTATTCTAAATATAAAATTAAATTTAAGACATTTTTATTAAATTACAATAAAAATAAATGGCAAAATTTTATGAAAGTTGCATGGGACTTGGTTTTTTGATCAGGCCTGGCTATGTCTGCAAAAAAAAATTTCAGGCTAATTGTATAACCCATATTTAAAATTCAAAAATCTTAAAGCTTCTCTATTTTAAATTTTATCCAATATGATTTCCATCACAAATTTAAATTTAGATATTTCTAATACATTCTCACGGTATACATTGCAACAATTTTACCTCTTTTTCTCCTAAATTTTAATATTTGTATAAAATTTATTAATAATGTATATTTAGTACCATACAAACAAACTAAATAATTACCCTTCAACCCGTCAGCTAGTATGGTAATAAACGGCAAAATTTTAAAAATATCAGCTATTAATTAATATATATATAATTAATATTTTAAATTTAATTATATTCAAGTTGGTGCATGCTTAAAACATACGTCTATGAAACAGGAGGTTTGTGGTTGGACTCTCGTAAAGAGCAAAAAAATAACATCACACTATAGTCTCCTTAAATTTTAAATACATTAGGAAGATACGAAAACGATCATGTTTTGATTATGGAGATTATATTAGATAATATAGTTAGTTTTGATTATTAAAAAATCCATGTAATAAAAATATATATTTATGGTAATTTGTTGCATTTTATAAGTTTTTACCTAGTGTTGTGTCCAACTATCTGCCGTGGTACATATATATGATATCTCGGATAACTCCACTAGAGCATCTTTCATCACTTTAAAGTTATCTGCTATTTTATTCATTAGTGTCTGGCGATATAAAATTATTGGATAGTTTTAATCACCACGGTAAATGATGGATTATAAACCAAGGACATTGGCTGATAACTTTAACAGCCAATTTTGAGAATATTGGCATTTGGATTAAATTAATTTGGTTTGAATTGAATCAGTCTTTTTGGATGTAGAGGCGCCTATACCAAAATTATTTAAATGTTTCTCCATTTCCTTAAAGCTATTGGTATGAAAAGTCTTATAATATATTAGAATGTAAAAATGACAATTTACCTTTTGGTGTTTTTTGAGGTTATAACTGGTTTGATTTGAGGAAATATTTTTTTTTACATTAACAAATAAATTTGAAGCCAGTTTTAGTTTTTATATTTATTTAAAAAAAAATTTCAAATCTAGGGAATGGGAAATTTGTATTATAGCTATTAAGAACATTTTCTTCTCTAGTATCTTCCATTTCATTAATATCATTGTCTGAATCACTTTCAAAATAATAATAATTTTTTAATTAATTATGAGAATATATTTAAATTTTCATGTTTATACTTACCTTAAAAAAAGTAGCGGGCTAAAAAATTAAATAATTACAAAAAAAGTAACCATTAGCTATAGCTACCAAAAAAGATAGCTGGCTAAAAGTATCTCGTTACTTTAACAACTCTGTATAGTAGGCATTTTTATTTAACTCTACTATTACAAGCGAATTCAATTAATGTCGCAATTTGACACTGGATAATTCTTAAATTAAAAAATTTTCTCTAGGTCTTAAAAATACCTTTGATATCTATTTCATCAAAATGTCTCGTATGCGAATATAGCATATAGTTTCCCATTCAAAAAAGGAAGTGTCAATCGTAAAAGATTCGATCAAAAAGGAAAAATACTAAATACAGGAAAAGGTCCAATCAAAAAAAAGGGTTCCTTATCATTTATTGTAAATCCTTGTTTATTTTTAATTTAGTTCCACGAGAAAAGGTTCAATCGAAAAACAATTCTCATTCAAAAAAGGAATAAATCATATTCCTTAAATCTTCGTTTATTTTTAATTTTCTTTCTTACTTTCTGCATATCTTTAGGTCATTTTTAATGTATTTTTATCATCTTTTCTTATAATTTTTTTCTCTTCTTTTGAAAAGAAGGCTTCTCTTCTCCTTTTCTTTGTTTTCCTTGCCACTTTTCTTTCATTCTCTATTTTTTATTATTAGATTAATCAAAAATAAGAAGATAGAATAAATAGGAGAAAATGATAGAAATATATAAAAATGAAATTACAGATTGAAAAAAGGAATAGGATAGAATTGGGCTATTTTGCTCCCAATTATAATGTTAATGCTAAAAGGAACTTGGGTTACAATCAATAAAAGATAGCAAGAATTAATGACTTTATATAATTATGATTTACTAATATTATATTTTTTTTCTTCCAAAAATTCAATATTTTTTTATTATATTTTTATATACTTATTAAACTATATATATTTGAATATTAATTTAAAAAAATTATAATTACTTTGATATTAATAAGGAAAACAATAAGATCAATAATTTTGATAACAATTAGATTTTTTAAATTGGAATTATAGCGTTATATTTAAATATATATTTTCTTTTTGGTAATATATTTCGCTTTGCATGAACATTTTATATCAATTTATTTAATTTGATAAAATCAAAAAAATTGATATAAACAAATTCTCAAAAAAGCTTTAAGAAAGCATAACAATTAATGAGATTTAATTTTGTCTGCTAAAAAGAAATATAATTAAAAATAATTTTTAATGTAAAAATATGAATAAAATAAGTTAAGATAAAAATCTTTGCAAATTAACTGATGAAAAATTTCTGATCGGCTTTTTTTTATTCAGGCAGCCTTAAATATTGACATCACACTGTGTCGTGGGCAAAATTCCTACATAATTTTATGGTCCGTTCGCTACTGGATATGTAAAGAGGGTGAATAAAAAATTATTATGACTATCTAACTATTTCTAAAACATCTATTTATAACGTATCATTACCAATATAGACAATATAATTTTTCTTTTATTAAATTTATAATTTTCAACTTACTACATAAAATAAAAAATATATTAAATATATGTAGCATTCCATTATAACTTTTGTGGAAATCCAAATGTAGAATTAAAACTGTTCGATCTATAAAAATATTTTTTATCCATTTTAACCGTCTTTCTTGAATTTGAAATCATAAGAAAAGGTATATTTTCTTTATTCATATTTTGTCTTTCATTTACTAAATCAATATTATCATTATATATGACAGAACACATATTTTCATGATTAGGTTTGGCGAATTGTTGAAGTTTATTTTTTAAATCTGGTTGATAATTTTCTGTTGATTTAATTTTTGAAAGTATAAATTTAGGGGATTGATTATTTCGAGCCATTTGTTGATTAATATCGGATGAGCATGGTGTTTTCTGAATATTTACTAGCCTTTTCAACTTTTTTATCTTATTATTTAAAATGTCAACCTAAAAAAATAGAATGATCAATCATATAGAACATTAAAAAGTTTATTTAAAACTTAAGGGAATGAATAAATTTATGTGACAAGGTTAGAATTAGGCCTATTCAAAAATGAATAGGAGAATTGAATAAGATAGTAACGAATAATAGTAAAATATTCATTTATTCGAATACCAATTATTTGACTCAAATAAAATAAATAATATATTTTAATTATCTGTCATTTATATTAATAACTTATCAATCTGGAAGGTGAGGTTTAACAACAACTGCTTGTGAAATGATTTCTAAGTTGGAACTAATCTGCTGTCAAAAATTGCAGAAACAACAAGAAAAACTTCTACATTAAAAATTGGCTAGAGATTATATCTTAAATGTATGCATTTTAATTTTATTAATAATCTTATCGCAACGGAAGAAAAGTTATTACAAGCCACGATGAGAATGATACGGTGGGGGTATACTAAACTCGACAAAGAAAAAATGGGTATTCAACCTATGGCGGACTTGATAAACGAAAATCGGTTAAGGTGGTATGGTCATATACTAAGGGAGACGAATGATGTAAATCGAAAAGTATTGGACATGGAGGTGCCGGGGAAGAGGACGACCTCGTGTTACGTGGAAAAGAAGACAAAGTTATGATGATTAAGAAGATAAATCCGGACATGGCCCTTACTCGATCAAGATGGAAGAAACTTATCAAAACAAACCCCACGAATGTGGGACCATATCAATGATAAAGAAAAAGAATCTTATCGCAATTATGATAATTTGTTTTGTTAGATTTTTAAATAAAAAAATCTGTCAATATTTTATATGAATTATTTTATATTATTCAATTCATTTAAACAATTCGAATAATATTCGTTTTTGAATAGGCCCGTTGGACTCATTTTGCTATTCTGGGGGAATAGTTGCAAGGAGCTTTCAAAATCCTGGGTAGACCTGATTTTTATTTAATTAGTCTCAAATTAATCAAGAAATATTGTTAAAAAGTGACAAATAACCATAAACCAAAAAATTTATTACTTTTCCTTATAAATATAATTTGACAAAAGAGAATATTGATATTTTAATATATGACTTAATATAATTTTTTTGAGAATAGGGACTAATTTTAAAAGATGTGTTTCAATTTACATAATTCTAATAAAAGAGCCTGTGAAAATAATCGAATCAATTTTTTTACATATTATTTTTTACTACCCGAATGTGAACCATTATTTTGTCCTAACCTAAACCGATATTAAATGGTTCGGATTCCTGCAAATAACATCATTCTGTATTTATCTAAATATAGGTCAGAAGATCAAACTATAAATAAAAATATTATCCACTACATGATTTGATCATTTAATTAAGTAACCATAATTTTATTTAAATTATTAAAACATTAAATTTAATTATTTAATTATAATATTACACATAATTATTTCTAAAGCTAACCAGCTTTATAAGTTATTTTGCTTGATAAAATGCATCCCGATAATCTTAACTAATTAGGTTAAAATGATTCAGTCCACTGGTATTTGTTATAATTTAGTTGCAAAGAACTATATATCATATTTATTTTTAAATTAACATATTATTTCCATGTTATTATGGGTCATTCCATATCAAATCAATCACTTTACAACCCGAACATCTCAGATTTTGCTGAAATTTGGTATATAAGTTAATGAAGTGTTATAATTGATGAATCCAAAATATTAGCTCCTTAACTCTACTAGAACCGGAGATATAGGGTCTCAAAGTAGCTCTGCGAGGTCATTTTTCTAAAAAAATAATTTTTTAAAATTGAGATAACTTTAAATGTAGTATATTTATCTATCATGGCTCATTTTATAGCCCTAAGTAAACTTCCACATATTTTAAATGGAATTAATTTTTAATTTATAAATTTTTTTTAAATTGCGGTCAAAAATTTGTAATTAATTTTTTTAAATGCTAGTATAAATTTTTTTTTCCAATTTTCAGATATTTTGTAAAGAGTATCAAGGACTGTTTATATAAAAATTTTCAGAGTGGCAAAAAAAGAATTAAGTGGAAAAAAACCAAAAAATAAAAAAACCGCTAGATGGTGTTAATAATTTTAAATAGCTTAAAATTTAATTTGAAAATATAAGTCAATATACCTTTTATTTATATTCTATAATATAATATTTGTTAAATAAAATCGCATTTTAGCACAAAATAAAAATTCCGCTAGATAGCGCAAGTATTCTAAAATAGATAAAAACCTCATTTTTGTGAAATATGTCAGTAGATATTTTTATTTATTCTATAATATTTATTAATTTAATTTAGATAAGAAAGGGTAACTATTTTTCATATTTTGAATTATCAAATCGTTGATATTATTTATTTCCATAGCTGGTTGAAGAATTTCGCCTATTCCCTTTGAAATTCTTGCAAGCTTTTGCTTAGGATATATATTTTCTTTTAATCTCTTTTTTTAATTGGAGATTGTCCAATATCTAATAATGTAGAATTTAAGGATTCGAAGAGAGATGAAGAGAGTTGTGGGTTATCATCATTTTCTGCTTCTATGGTAGTATTTAAAAATTCATTTGAAGTTGAAGGGATGTTGTATTCCTCGTAAATTGGAATATCCTCCTTTTTATATTTATATAAAGTTAAGCGGCACGCAACACAGATATAATCTCCAATGTTGATATCAGAAAATTCAGACATCCATGGACATACCTTACGGAGTCCCTTCTTTGATAAATGCTTTTTTATATTAAAAGGATTTTTACAAATCATGATATTCAAATTTAAATAGTATTAATTAATTTTAAAAATAGATAAAATTCTTGTAAAAATAGACAACTGGAATTGATAAATTTATTTGGAAAATAAATCGAAAAATCGATAATTAATTTAAAGAATATTTATCCATTTTAGAATACTTGAGCTATCTAGCGGAAATTTTATTTTTGTGCCAAAATGCGATTTTATTTAACAAATATTATATTACAGGATAAATAAAAGGTAGATTGACTTGTATTTTCAAAAATTAAATTTTAAGCTATTTAAAATTATTAACGCCATCTAGCGGTTTTTTTTAAAAAAAATTTTTACGACTTTGAAAATTTTTATATGAACAGTTCTTGATATTCTTTACAAAATATCTGAAAATTGGGAAAAAAAAACTTATACTAACATTTAAAAAAATTAATTACAAATTTTTGACCTCAATTTAAAAAAAATTTATAAATTAAAAATTAATTCCATTTAAAATATGTGAAAGAGTTTACTTAGGGCTATAAAATGAGCCATGATAGATAAATATACTACATTTAATATTAAAGTTATCCCGATTTAAAAAATCATTTTTTTCGAAAAATGACCTCGCAGAGCTACTTTGAGACCCTATATCTCCGGTTCTAGTATAGTTAAGGGGCAAATATTTTGGATTCGTCAATTACAACACTTTATTAACATATATACCAAATTTCAGCAAAATCTGAGATGGTCGGGTTGTAAAGTGACTGATTTGATATGGAATGACCCTTATAGAGTCCCATTATGGATTATGACGGATCGGTTTTTAGGAATTTATTATATACTATGACTTTTTGACAGCTGCATAAATGTGATTTTTGATATTCAAAAACAAAAAATATAAAACAGCAATTTTTATTTTTATCAGCCCATCTAAATATTGACTAAATTTAATAGTATAAATAAATTTAAGTTAAAAAGTTGTATAGGTATTATTTTTTTTATCCTCTTTGCTCATGTTTTCTTGAAGATAAGGGGCAATAATGGATGCAGTAATATGTAAATATTTTAAACAATAACGTTAAAAAATCGAGGGAGGAGCAGCGAATGTAATGACCCCGGTGGTGATACAACAAAAAAGGGTTCAAGTCAACTGAGAGCGAATGAATAAAAATAAAAAAATGACGCGTATTCAATATAGCGAGAAAGGATTAAAAATAAAATATTATAAAATAACGCGATAATTAAAACAAAATGAAAAGCGAATGTGAAAGGTAAATCTGCTAAATATATCATTAAAAAAGAAGGAATAGAGATAGATAAATAAAATGTTGATGTATCCAACAAGGCACGAATTAATAACACTAAATTTAACTAAAGATACACAACATTCGTTGTTATTAGTATATAAATAACGCTCGAATAGATGAAAAATAATTTAATATTGCGATAATTAAAGCAAGAAAGGCTAGTACGAAATAAGCAGGGTTATAAGCAACCTATAGAAAAAAACGAATGCAGAATATTTCCAATATCCAATCAGAATCGGATGAATTGAAAAGCGAGAATAGCCGAAGAATAATTAATATGGTATAAAAGATAAATCCATTTGAGCACAAATGAAAAACTACAAATTTAACCAGAAAGACGTTCAATATTGGAAAGTTTTACTAAAAATAAGTCTCGAATGTATAAAGAATAATATAATATAGCCATAAATAAAGCTAAATGGAGAATGTGAAATATAAAAAGGGGATAATTGGAGTTGATGACGAATACACAATACCCCAATAAGAATCCAATGAATTGACATGCGAAAATAGGAAAAGAATAATAAATATATAAAAGAAATATCAATCAAAACGAGAGAAAGATCAGCATATGAGGTTTCTAGATATTTAAAAAAAAAATGTTTGAACTATTTCAATGGCTAAAACAAATTTATTAATTTATTTTAAATAAAACAATATAAATTAAATTAGCATCTTCCTTTTTAATTTTGTGTCTAAAACATAAAAAACTTTTCAATACTTTATAATTTTAAGATTAGTCTACCTAAAAGATTTGGACACAACCTAATATCCTGATTTATATAGACTTAAAAATATTAATATTTTTTTAAAATTTATATCAAAATGTTTTCAACACTAAAACTATATAAGAATGTTTTTAAACATATAGAAATGTGTTACAACAAATCATATTATTACTGTAATGTTGCTTATAAAAATATAACGACAAACAACTGCGGGTTAGGAATATGAACGTTTATAAATTTAAATTTATAATTAGTAAGGAAATGAGGAATTATTTTAGAAACAATAATCGTGGAAATATGAGAAAGGTGAGATTAGGATACATCCAAAAATATTTTGTAAAAATCCTCACTGCTTCTGTGTTTTTCGTTCTATCGTAAATTTTAATGTCAATCAGGGAAATTTCTTTATTTTGCTTATAACCTTTTATTTATATTTTATACTAAACGGATTAAAGCAGAAAAATAAAATATATAATAATTATGCATTACATATTGGCTAAAGCTTCAAATTAATGCTTTCAAAAGTTTGGAAAACTTCATCTTAATATTGGATTCAGATTCTTATCAAATTTTTTGAAAAGATATTTACTTCATCTAAATAAATAGGAAAGATAAATTAATATCAATAAAGATGGCAAAATCATAAAACCCTTGCTCTAATTAGATCTGTGCGCCGCCGTTCCAAAACGACGCCGCCGATGGAGCGGCGTGATAAATATTTTTTATTATTAAAAATAATATTTATTTTATGTACTTTTTATGAATACGAAAGATAATATTAAATATATTTTAACTTATTATAAAATGCGATTTATTTTGTGATATAACTTTTCATATGTGGACCGAAAAATATAGACGGCGAAATTATATTACCCTTACATTTCATGGAATATAATAATTTTAATATCGCATTTTATATAATGGCTAAGCATCATATCACTCAAACATATCGCCGAAACTATTCCTTCCGAGATAGATAAAGTTGAAAATGAATTCAATTTCGGGTTTAAGAAAATTCAAATGGCTAAGGGGTGCACGCATACATGTTTGTGGCACGGATTATATAATCTAGTGACAATAAGTAAATGGAATAAAAAAATGAATAAAATAGAAAATCTCATTAAAAAGTGAGAGAAATTATAGTTGCCTTAAGATTCAAAGCAGCGGATTTTGAAGATATAATCGATATCGAAAATAAATACTTATAATCGATATCAATCAAATTGGATATTTTAGTTTTAAATGATAATGATCCTTTTTACGAAGATCATTTTGTGTTTGATGACGATGTGCAAATCAAAAATATATTAGAAAAAAACATAAAACCTTAAAATTAAATGTTTCCACACGTTGATATAGTATTTTAATAATTCTAGAAAGTGAGTGACAATTAACAAAAATATATTCTATAATAGAATGGAGAAACCGGATCTCAAATTACATATTTCCTTAAAACCTTCAAAAATTGTTGAATTTTTATCCGCCCTTATAGGATGTACTATAAATTTATCCTTTTTATATCGTAGTGAAAATTAAAAATCCTTTAATAAACAATATGATATCCCTCCCATAGCATCCTATAAATAAAATATGCTTAATAAGTTTAATTAAAGATTTCCAATAACCGATCTTCTGGTAGTATTTTAAAATATAGTTAATTTTAATTCTTCATTTCTCCTTGTTTTATTTTGTTACTTAGGTGTTAGGAGTACATTGGATCCTCGTTTTCAATCTATAAACATAGGAAATGAATATTTAATGGAAAAAAATATTACATCGGTGTAATTTTTATGTCAACATTCTACCTCACTGTCGCCTTCACTGACGAATTAACCGAATGTGAAACCGCGGCAGAATTTGCTCGGGAATTCGATTATCTTAAGATTAGCTACCAAAAATTCATCACAAGAATCTGGAATAACGAGACTATTTAACTAGTCTAAAAAAGAGTATAATTCATTATTTGAGCCTTTTAATTAGAGATAAAAGATGTCTTCGATTTTTGGAAGATAAGAGCATTGGATCTTCTTAAAATTTCTATATATTATCTAGAAATGTCCTGTGTTATCCAGCTATGAGCACCCCAACGAGCCTGTATTTTCCGTAGCTTGGCTCACTCTGAACTCCAAAAGATCATCATTATGTCCTATTGGTCTAAATAAAATAATATTTATACAATGATAATGTATAAATAAATAAAACAGTTAAATTATAGTTATAATTTAATTCGAAATTTGTGTAATAAAACACAAATTTTATTTTAAAAGTGTTTCCAATAAATTTATAATTTTAATTTAAAAAATTTAACGCCACCGTTGATTATTGTGTGACGTCTAAATCGATTCGCCGCCGCCATCCGATCGTTTTAAAAAAATAAACGCAGCCGCCGATAAGGCTGTTGATCAGGTCTAGATATAATTGATTTTGAATCGGCGTGACGTTTTATATTTATATAACTAGTTTTTGGTTAGTGACTTGCAAAATTGAAAAATTAATAACTAATCAGGTGATAGATGTTGGCGTAGCTCAGATGTTTAATATATTCTTAAAGCCTGGTTTCTTAAGTGAGATTCATATAAAATAGACTTAAAGGAAGGACAGGGTAGCATTAATAAGTATATAGCTATAATAAATTCTAAACCAATCTTTAAGCTCGAGAATTATTATATATAAAAATATAAAAACTATATTTTAAATCGATTTTCAAACTATTTTTATGAAATATTTAAATTAATATGGTCCTACATATGAGTGATTTAAAATAAAAGTCACTATTAGTCATTATCGCGATATATGGTTCGCGGAGCATTTTCGCGATATGGTTTCTTTATAAAAATTTCGCTGTTGTATATTAGATCCAAAGAGTTGGCAATAAAGGTTTCGCAAAAAAAATCACCTTACAACCTGATCATCTCAGATTTTGAAAAAATTTGGCATATAAGTTAGTGAAGTGTTGTAATTGTCGAATCCAAAATATTAGACCTTTAACTTTACTAGAACAGTAGGGTTTCAAAGAAGTGGCTCTTTAAAATTGGGATAACCTTAATACTAGATGCATTATATATTATGACTCATTTTGACCTAAATAAACTCTTGCACGTATTTTAAATAAAATTAATTTTTAAATAATATAATTTTTTAAATTGCGGTTAAAAATTTGTAATTAATTTCTTAAGATATAAATTTTTTCCAAAATTTTAGATATTTTGTAAAGAGTACCAAGAACTATTCATATAAAAATTTTCAGAGTGGTAAATAAAAGTTAAGTAGGAAAAATGTTTAAAATAAAATTATCACTAGATGTCGTTAATAATTTTAAATTGCTTAAAAACTTTATATAAGTCAATCTACATTTTTTGATATTAATATAATATTTATTGACTACAATTATTTTAGAAAAATCCCGTAGATAGCGCAAGGAATTTAAAATAGATAAAAAGCTAATTTTGGTAAAATATGTCAGTCGAAGTTTATATTTATTCGACAATATTTATTGAATTAATAGTAAAATTACTTATAGTATTGATGATTAGTTATATTGATTTCCTTAAATTTAATGGATATCACTAAATATTGCATTGCTGTTATCCGTAGAAAAATCTTCTATTTTGCTTTATACTTTTATCATTGGTTGATATTTCGCCTATTCAATTTTGAATGTGGTATGGTTTGATTAAACAGCACTGGAATATTTTTTCGTAATTATTTGTGATAAGCTAACATGATAAATTGCATAAATTCTTTGAGTTCTAGGAATGAAAAGAGCTTTTGAAAACCGATATTGACAACAATAGATTTATTTAACTATGCAAGAAATAATATCAAAGGGGTAAATTATATGTTTGTGAGCAATAATGAATATATGAACATAGAAAGTCATCTTGAAAGCAGTTTTTTGAGAGCAAAGAGAATTTCTGGAACGCAAAGTTCCAAGCTTTTATTCCCCCTAGACGAAAAAAGTCATAATTTATTAATATTCCTTGGATGATTTTAATATGATATATTTTAATTTTTAATTGTATTATATGTAATGCAATTTGAGGCAAAAAAGTTATAAATATGTTTAGAATTATTTTATCAAGTAACTTCTAGACAAAATGTAATTAAAGTGTTAAACAAAGCTGATTATTCCAGCCACTTCTCAAAAATTTTGATAAAGATAAAAAAAAAGTAAGGGCCTATCATTTAGACATAATTTTTAAATTAACATTATTTCATAACTATTCATTAAATTAAAATATGATGATATTAATGTTAAATTTGTTCAATTTTAGGCATATAAGGAGTGGTAATTCCTAAACCCATGTTCATCCCAGTCTAGGATTTTGTACAAATATAAAGCAGTGTGATAAATATCTACAGAAGTTTTATACATCAGGTTTTCGATATTAATAAAATGTCCATCATATTTATTTTTATGTCATTTTAAAGAACTTTTATTAAGCTACAAAATAAAATTTAAATTATTTTCTTACTTAATTATTACTCGAGATATTTGAAATTAAATGAGGTGCATTTTGTCAAAAATATACCATTTATCCGGGCTTTAAACGGCCATATCTTAGCGGGTAAACAGTGTTGGAAGGTAAAATTTCATTTTTTTTCTTAGTTTTAGTATATACTACCAGTATACAAAATTTAATGAAAATTGAAGGAGGTCGGGTTGAAAATCGACTTTTTTTGTTGATTTGATATGGAATTTACCATATATATAGTGTATCTAATAGTAAAGTTATCCCAATTTTAAAAAATCATATTTTACGAAAAATGAGTAGCAGAGCCACTTTGAGATTCTATATCTCCGGATCTAAAGAGGCTAATATTTTGGATTCGTCAATTACAACACTTCATTAACTTATATAACAAATTTAACAAAATATGAGATGTTCGGGTTATAAAGTGATTTATTTGATGACCCGATATTGTCTTATAGGAATAGTATTTGCTAATGTGGTTCGCAAAAATAGTTTCAATATAATAATCATTAGCGATAAATGGTTTGCTGAAATTGAAATATTACCCTAAAATTTTACCTTTTCATCTTGATTTCTATTCAATCTAATAATTTTTTCAATAAGGGCAATGTTAGCAACATGATAGTTTGAGATTAAGTCCATTTCAATAGGGATAGTATTAAAATGATTATCAAATTCCTTTTTTAGTTTTGTTGGCGATATTTTCATAATTTCAAAGGATCTGTAATTTTTATAAAATAAGCTAAATTAAATATTAAAAAATTATGGGCAAAGGGGCGGATAAAATATATCAATAAACTTGAAATTTTCCATCAATTTTAAATTCAAAATATATAAAATTCACAGTGTACTCTGAGCTTATTAATTATTATAATATTCTATGAATATAACATTTACCCAATTCATCCTGATTTTTCTATGTCACAAAATTAAACTAACAAAAAAGAATATATTCAGATGAAGGACCTAATTACCCTAATAATCTTTATAGAATTGAGGTAATAATATTTTGTAGCTAAAAAGTTAAAAAATTGTTATGTAGGATGAAAAATAGAGAAAAGATAATTGTCAAAAATGACATAAAATAAGGGTTAAGAAAAATGACGGAAATAAATTATTTTAAAAATGATAAAATAAATGATCAAAAATGAGAAGAAAAATAAGAATTAAAATGACTAGAGATGGCAAAAAAAGAAAAAAAAATAAGAAGGATAAATGAAAAAAAAAAAATTGTAATTTTTTGGGAGAATTTTACTTTTTTGACTGATACTTTTATTAAGGCTTTAGAATTTTTCCTTATTTGATTAACACTTTTCCTTTAGATTGGAACTTCTCCATTTTTTGATTGGACCTTTTCCTTAATTGTTTGACACTTTTCCTTTTTTGATTAAGACTTTTCCTTTTTTAGATGGGAATCCCTAGAAATAGTTACAATCTTATTTGCAATATTTTATATTTTCTGATTTTATATATGTAACAAATATTTCTAATTTTATAAGGGCAACAAGTTGAATTTTACATGTATAATATGTGGAATATATCATTGAGCTCCACATGTAATTATACCAAAGATAAAATATTTGTTATTCAATGTCCAAGTCGATTCTTTTTTACGAATACGAATAACAATATTAGTCCAATAGAAAATTTGAATCGTACAAGAATAATATTAAGGTAATTCCAAATCGATTGGAATAGAGTGATTTCGGACGACTATTTTTAAAATAGATGAAACATGGCATGTCGGTTAAATAGAGTACGTATTTAATACAATTCGTAATACCTTCAAAGTTCGATGAGAGCCTTATCCTCTTTTAATGAATTTCAATACTCAAAATATTATAGTCAAAAACATATTATATATAAATATTTTAAAAATATCTTTAGTGCCATTATATTTCCGATAAAATAAAAAAATATTATTTTGTTAAGGTCTTAATTTGAAATGATGAAACTCATTAAAAATTTATTACAATATATTTATATATTTAATTAAAAATAATAGGACAAATTAAGAATTCAAATTTTATTTACTTTAATAAATCATTTATAGAAAGAGTTTTTTTAAATTTAATTACAATTTATTTTATAAATAAAAATATGCATTTTATTAGGGCTGTGCCGATCCACATATTTTTCACTGATCCGATCCGATATTGGTTAAAAACCGATCCGATATTTATATTGAGTTTTCACCAGCCCTCTTTGAACCAAATGTAATTAAGAAATCAATATTTTTTATGCAAAAGAATTATGCGTTTAATTTAATTTTTTTATTTCAACTATAATTTAAAAAAAATTATATTATAATTAAAATAAATATAATAATATATCCATTTTATGTTGGTTTATAAAATTGTAATATCTAACATATAAAATAATAATATATTAGATTTTTTTAAATAAATATAAGAGCCTCTAGATTTTCAGGCAAAGGATCAGAATAAATATTAGTTTATTAGGAATGGCTGATATTGTTGGCTGACTTTCAGGGCTCTTTTTTAAAAAATTTGATTTGTTTTTTCTAATATTTCTCGTTCTTTATGTATTAGCTTTTCGATTTCTGTTTGATGGAATCGCCTTAAATGTTTCCGAATATTTGTTGTATTAAATGAATTTTTCATTATTCCTCCCCAATAGAATTCCGCAGATAACGCATTTTGCAAAATTCTCTTTATCTCTATCAAAATATTTCCATAATTCAGAAACCATATTTAAAATAATTCTTTTAGTTAAAGTATAAATTAGGGATGTACCGATATTTTTATCGGATCGGGCCGATATTTCACCTATTTTAAAATAACGGTTATCGGTTAATATTATAAAATTTGCCGATCCTAAAATGGCGTCTTTGACAAAAATAAGATCTTATAAATTTTTTAAATATCTAAAATCATTTATTTTTATAAATAAAATCGAAATGCATATAATAATAATTAATTAATAAATATTCTGCAATATTGTTATTTTTTTGCGCATTCTCTTTATAAAAGTGTGCGATAATCTCTTCAGAATCTGTTTTTAATGAAGCTGGTGATATTGACAGTTACCATCACCGCAATTTGATTTCTAATAAATTGGAAATTTTGGTATTTCTAAAAGAAATCTTCGATATATTAATATTAAATATTTATTCAAATTTCATAATATATTTGTTTATTACTTATTATATAAAAGTGATTTAACAATAAAAATATTTTATATACTTTTAAAATTGCAATAGAATGATCATTCTATATATTTAAATGACATAAGTTATGGTATAATTAAATTATAGATATTATACTAATAAAAAGTATATTACAAATTAAAACCATTGGTATCTTTACAGAATACAAAATTAAATATGATATTGGATCGGTAATCGGAAATTTAATATGGGGAATATCGGATCAGCCTCCAAAAAGTGATATCAGTACACCCCCAGTATAAATAATAAAATTGGTATAAAAAAATTAAAAATAAATAAAACTTTGGATGTTCCTTTCTATTTTTATAAAAAAACTTTTAAAATCTAATTAAAAAAATATTAACATTTGCATTGTATAAAAAAATTATTTAGAAAATATTATTAATGTAAAATAGAAACTCACTGAAACTAGGAAAAATTTATTATTTTTTAAATATCTTTTTTTTATTTATTTATTAAAAAAATAATAAATATGATGTAATAATAATTCAAAGTTTCATTATTCAAAAGTTTTAAGAATAGAATTTTTAGTAAAAGGATCGGATCTGGATATTTACAGGTATTGGCCCAATCCGATATTTTTGGAAAACGCTAAATCGGTACCGATCCGATCCAATTTAATATCGGCACAGCCCTACATTTTATATTATATATAACTATTAATATTTCTAATTATTATAAGAACTAGAAATTTAAAAAAAATACTTTATATACCCCAATAAAGAGAAAATATATTACAATTATCTAAATATAGCGCCCTCTATAATTCATTTTTTTATTCCTAAAATTGTAAACAAAATAGAATTAAAATTTTTATTTTTTCCATTAATATTTTTAATTAAATATTTAAATAAATTTGTAATAACATATTTGAAGAGTTTCATCGTTTCAAACGTCCTAATTTATTTTTTATTCCTAAAATTAAAAAAACTTAATAAAATTTAAATTCTTACTCCATTAATATTTTTATGTCAAAAAAGTAACGCCATTCGTTACCTTCATCTATAGGTAACCCGTAACGGTAATGCGTTTCTTTTTTTGAGTAATGAAAACGCAAAACGTTACTTTATATTTTTTCTTAAAAAATATCAATAAAAAGAAAAACATATTTTATTGTTTATAAGATTACTTTTATTTTTTTTTATTTTTTAATTCTTAATATTAATAATTTAAGCCGAGTTTTAATTCATATCAACCACTTCTGTCCATTATAAAACCATTTCAAAAATTACATTTTCTAAATGTAAGCTTTTGTGGAATAAATATGGGCAATCTTCTAACTGTGCAGCCATTTTTAAGGAAAATATGGGAAGATATTTTATTAAACCTGTTATAACAAGATGGAATTGTTACCATAACTCTGTAAAATTAATAAATAGTCTTATTAGGTGATTTACCAAAAATTAGATGAATCTTGTGACAAATCTGGATTACAGAGATATGGTATGGTTAGTGTTAATTAAAATATGATATGTATATATATGATTTTATAGGTTATGGAACCGATAGCTACGGCTCTTTTTATTTTAGAGAGTGAAGAAAATATGCATTTGGGATATCTCACTCCCACTATAACCATTATTGTAAGCCGCTTATTGATTCAATCCTGGAAGCCATAGATAAAAGGTATACAGTTCAGATATTGCTTATAATTTAAATTTTGACTATCATATTTTCAATAGATTCAAACACATCTATGATGATGATGAATTTATACATTTTTATTTTATAATTATTAACATAATAATATCTATACTTAAGTCCCTCTTAGATAATTGTTATTAAATTTTTTTATAGATGATGGTTCATTATCAAATTAAAATCATTTTGGATATATAATTTTTAGAGGTGTACCGTACCACTTTTTGGAGGTCGATCCGATCCGATATTCAATTGATATCGGCCGTACCGATCCGATATCATATCTAATTTTGTATTCTGTAAAGATACCAATGGTTTTAATTTTTAATATACTTTTTATTAGTATAACAACTATATTTTAACTATACCATAACTTATGTCATTTAAATATATTATAATGATCAGTTATAGTTTATATTCAATTCAACTGCAATTCCAAAAGTATATAAAATATTTTTATTGTTAAATCACTTTTATATAACAAGTAATAACATTAATCTATATACATTTTAATTAATAACAATTATATTATGAAATTTGAAATAAATATTTAAAATAATATTTAACATTAATAGTGAAGATTTCTTTTTAGTAATTCCAATATTTCCAATTTATCAGAGGTCAGCTTGCGGCGATATTAACTGTCACCAGCTTCACTAAAAACAGATTCTGAAGAGATTATCGCACACTTTTATAAACAGAATGCGCAAAAAAATAACAATATGGTAGAATGTTTATTAATTAAATATTATTATTAAAAAAATATACATAAAAATGGATTTCGATTTTATTTATAAAAATAAATTATTTTAGATATAACTATTTTTTTAAATTTTATAACATTTTATTTTTGTTAAAGAGGCCATTTTTATATCCGATCAAATTTTATAATATTGACCGATAATTGATATTTTAAAATGTGTGAAATATCGGTTCGATAAAAAATATCGGAACATCCCTAATATATTTTATATTTAATTATTTTAGCTAGTTCTTATTAGAGGAAATATTTAAGCTACAATTGATATATAATATTAGATAATTTTAAAAAGCTCTTAATAAAATAATTATAATAAGGTAGAATTTAACTTTATTAGTTACTTTTATTTATTTATGATATAAGTAAAATTATATTACAGTAATTATCTACAAAATTTAATCAATTTAAAATGCATTAAAGAAAATTGTTATATATTTAATAATTAAATAATATAATGCTGTACATTATTTTCATATTTTTTATATATAATTAATGATTTTGCAAGAAATATATTAAAAAATTTGAAAAGAGATTTAAATGATATTTATATATATGAAATTACAAATGCAAGAATTAATAAGTCATACTAGAAAATAAAACTAATTTAAAAAATACATAAATATCACAAACAAGTAATGATAAATACTTATTAAAGATAGAATATAAAACTAGTATTATTTTTTTTAGAGATGCCATTTAGCCATATACTCCGAATATAAGCTATATTTTCAAATCCTAATAAATCATTTGATTTAATTTTTTTTCTTATTTGAAAATTTTCAACTCCCATTAAATATACTACTCTCCCTTCCCTGTTTAAACTATTAATGGACAAAAATTAATAATAAAATCCCTGGTTATTATAATTAATTCATCAATAAATATTTTATTAATTATTGCAAATATTCATTATATGTGTAATACTCTTCACAAATAAATAATAAAAATTGTATTTTATAAACTATTCTAATTTAATTGGTAATGATAATTTGAAAGTATCTTGTATTTAAGATACTCTAATTTAGTAAAAGATACAAGTATCTTTTATCTTGTATCTTTTTGATATTTTGAACAAGATACTAGTATCTGTATCTAAGATTCATTTTTTTATAAAGAATCTGAATCTGTATCTAGATTCTTTTACGGAGGACCTGCCCAACTCTGACTATCGGCAATAATTCACCCACTATTTAAATTGGATTGGCCCTGGATAAAATTAGAGGTCAATAAAGGAAGAATGCTGGAACTTATTTCCAGTTTGAGAAAAGATATTGATAAAGAAAGAACAGGCTTGATTCCTTTATCCAACACACACACTAGAATATTTTCAGATAATGATAAAAATTTTTTGATGAGGAAATGAATGAAGATCTCTGTGAAGATGATCTTTCAAGCTTTTTTCAAAATAAAGATATTTCCTTAAATATTTTTAATAAATTCCCCGAATTGAAATTTTTGTTTATTAAATATAACACCACTCTCCCATCCTCTGTGCCAATTGAACGTGTGTTTAGCACGGCGAAAGCTGTGTTAAGTACTAAGCGCTCATGTTTATCTAATAAAAATTTTGAAAATCAATTGTTGTTAAAAATTAATAAAAAATTTTTACATAAAGATGTTATCTTATAATATATTATTTTTGTATAATTTTATTCATATTATAATTATATATGAAAATTTTATTATAAAAAGATCTTATCTTATATGTTCTTTTTGTATAGTTTTATTTTATAATATATTGTCGGAAAAAAAGTAAATATTTTTTTGCAATATATATAACATTTAATTTTTTTAAGTAACGAGTAGGCCGTTACTTTTTTGAAAAATCGGTAACGCGCGTTCATTTTGTTAAATGGTAACGAGTAACGGTAACGCGTTTCATTTAGATGTAACGAGTAACGGTAACGCGTTTCTTTTTGTAGTAACGTTTACAGCACTAACATAAATATACTAGTAATAACACATTTCATGAGTTTCATCGTTTTAAATGGGGCATTTTTCAGAATATTTTTTTTGTTTATCTAAATAGGATGCCAAAGATATTTTTATGGAAAATTTTAAGGGTTATAAAAAGATAGATAACTTTAAGCAAAAATATTTTGATTATTTGAAATTCATTAAAAAAGGATAAAGTTCTCATCAAACTTAGAATAACTTATTTGAACTAGGGTATCAAAATTTGAATTTGTAAAAAATATGCAATCTATTTAAGAACTAAGTTTCATCCATTTTTAAAAAGGTCGTCCGAATCAATAGTAATTTGTCATGGAATTACCTATCGTCTGTTGATAATTTCTTCGATGGAATTATTCGAAAGTATTTATATGATATAAAAATATTCGAAATAACTTTTAAATATTTGAAATTATTCTTAAGTATTTACCATGTTCCTTGCGGAACTTTTTATTTTTTAACGTTTTTTCCCATATCTTATCATTTTCAAAAATTTAAATAATTCATTTTTTCGTTTTTAAAAATTTCAATAATGTATTTTTTTTTATTTTAAATAATTTATTTAGTTTTCAAATTAAATAAAATTTATTCATTTGTATGAACATGAATAATACAATTCTATTCATAAATACGAATAAAGCAAATGTTTTGTATTTTTGTAGGTGTACATTTAATATTAGTTTTTTCCCAAGTTGCAACTTATATAAATTTCAACCTATCGTTTTGGTTAAATTTATTCAAAAATAAAAATTATCTATAATAGAATTTTAAAGTGACCTGGCTGAAGATCGGGCAAATAGAAGTACTCCACAGGGTTCTACCCATAAGACCACTACTTTTTTGCCCCTGAAGAGAAGTAATATTCGTTTAATTTAAAAAAAATGGCTTTACTTATGACCTTGGCTTTTAATGCAAATAAATCCTTTAATTTTATTTGACCCCATTTATTAAAGTCTCCAATTTGGCTTAGATTATAAATTTGCTCTCATAACTTTATACAAATAAATCTTCCTTTAATTTAATTTGACCCCATTTATTAAAGTCTCCAATTTGGCTTAAATTATAAATTTACTCTCATAACTTAACATTAGTAAAGCTTTCAAATTCGTTAGATAAAAAATACAATGTCTAAACATTATGACTGATTTTTTGGTCTATCACCAGAGTTTATAAATGGAAAGTAGGTGACAGACTAATAAAAAATTAAATACAATTGAAAAAACATCCATGCCCAAAAATAATTGTATATAATCAAATGTTTAAAATCATTCCTATTCTAAATATTATTACTTTTCCCAATATTTATTGTGCCTTTTTAAGTTTAAATTTTCTTGTTCCAGTGAGGCGATTTGTTTTTTGGTTTCGGTAAACCCTTTTATTTGTTCCTTTATAATTTATTTATTTAAAAAAATAATTTTTAATAACTTTCAAATATAGCATAGCTTGATTTGCCAACATATTTCTTTGACTTAACGTTTTTACTTTAATATAGGCTTCTTTCTCCTTAATTAGCATTAATTTATTTTCTTCTTCTTTATATATAAATTATGTATAGTTTCATAAAAATTTAACTTAATTTTTCGTTTTCAGCCGATATTTTGATTAATTGATCTTGCTAAATATTAACAAATAATTTATATGACAATATAAAGTACTATAAATTATGTAATGTTCCTTATAATGCGCTATAAAAAACAAAAGTTGTTGTCTCCTATAGGTAGAGTCAAAAGTAATTACGACCAAAATGGGAAAAAATAATTATATATTCATTATAAATTAAATATGATAAAAAAAATTTAAGTTATCAATTTCATAATATCTCAAAAAATTCTCTACATACAATAAAAATTTTTATAAGTGCTGTAAAGTAGAGACTGGGGTTAGTTGAACTGATTTTTTACAAAAAAGTCTATAGCTTCTTGGTTTTTTTTAGATAATATAAAAGCAATATATGATTAGATACCTAAAACTATACTCTATAAAGGTGTCTTATAAAAAATTTCAAGAATATAATCATTTTTTTGAAATTTTATTTTTTGTAAAAGTCGAAAATTTGCCCAACAAGCCCCAATAGCGGGGTGAGGCAAACCACTTCAAGGGGCTTCCCAAACCTTTGGTTTTTATAGGTTATAATAAATTGAAATGCATTTTTATTTATTAATAATGATACGTATAGAATAATTTTATTGTTTCATTGTTCAAAATACTAAATACTTATAAAATTATAGCTAATTATATATAAAAATTGAAACTTATTTTCTGTTAATTTAATAAACAATTTAAACATATAAAAAATTTATCAAATTTTGAACATGTACCATGTGCCCATCCGTGGCACATTCTGCATTGGTACCACTCTTCGCCATTATGATGTTTTATATATTCAAGCTTACAACAAATACAAATATCTTTGTGAATAATTTTTTTTACTATTTTTTTCTTGGCAATATTTTCTTTTTCCATCAATTTCTTTTCTTTCTCGATTAATTTCTTTTTATATGGAGATGATATGAATATCTCTGCTTTTCTTTTCACTCTCTTGACTCTTTTTTTTTGGATAAGGCAAGGTTATTAATAAATTGCTAGATGGACCAGGAATATTATCTAAATGAGCATAAGAGGTAGATGGAGTATCATTACATATATCTAAGGTTCTATTAATATTTAGAATATCTTTTAATACCAAAGATACCGAGCTTGAATCTAATACTGGGCTTATAGGTAGTTCAGATATAGAATTCCCATAAACTGAGGCAATATAATTTTCTTTCTTGAATATATCTGGATTCAGTGGATATATTCCACATGCTTTAAAACCATTAGCTATATTTATAGATGATGCTGCTAAAGGCAGGACATCCTTAATAACAGATGGAATATAATAAATTGTTAATAATTTTCCTGGATGACTACATCCAGGAATCAAGCGCATTATTGTAATATTTTTTGAGAGGCCCAAAAACAGACCTATCAAGAGGCTGTAATTTATGGGTGCAGTGGGGTGGCAAAGATAATAGAATTATTCCCGTATCTATACAAAATTTGGCAGCTGAATAGGAGTGATGTGATATATGATTGTCAAGGTTTAATAAAACTTTGGACATTGGAGTACACCGAGTGTGTTTAGAAAAATGTTTCTAAAAAATAATAAAATCTCCTCCTCTTGCATCCATCCTGAACCATTTGTTACCCCTATAGAGCCAGATGGACCACCTCTAACAAAATAATCATAATATTTTTTCCTGGGAAAAAGAAACATTGGAGGAATTGCATGGCCAATTGCATTTACTGCTAGAACTAATTTTATTAAGGTACCCCTTTCTGTAGAAGTCATAGATCCTACCTGTTTTTGCCCCTTTTGTGCAATTATCTTGGATGGGGTTTGTACTGTGGTAAGTCCAGTTTCCATGTTGTAAATTGTCATACATTCTAATTTATGTTCATCTAATATTCATAAATATTAAATGTAAAACATTTACTTAACAAATCATTTAATAAACTTATATAAAAATCAAAAAAGTATAGAAGATTTTCTTCATTAAATCCAGTTGCCCTAGCCATAGGTATACCTAAAATAAAAATGTCAAATAAAATATATAATTATTTAATTATAAATTTAAAATTTTGCAACATAAAATTTAGAAAATCTCTTTACCATTACCATTTAGATTTTTATTTGCAAAATCTCTATTATTAAATTTAGCTAAAATTATATTTTATTGTTTAAAATTATATAAAATTAATACAATAATACTATACTTCATCATAATTTTAATCAATCTGAAATATAAGATCATTTTACAAATTACATTTAATAAAAATATTTACATAATTTCTATTATTAAATTTTGCTAAAAATTGATTTTATTGTTTAAAAATTACATAAAATTATTGTGATTATTTCTTAAAAATAAGACAAATAATGTAGATAAATTTACCAGTAAGTTGGCTAGTGATCCTTGTTGATTTACAATTTTCATATACCTTAATAGCCTAATTAGATTATAATATTAATTCATCAAATTTTAATATACTTCTAAATAATTATAAATATTAAATGATAGACCCTTATTAATTTTTTTGGATTTGTATTTTCGCACCATATAGAATAATGTAATAATTACTAAAAAAAATCATTCAAATAGATTGACATGAATGGTTTAGCAAGCCCCGCTAGTTCTAAATTTACTAATCATGATTGAAATATTATATAGACATAATAGATATTCATAAAACTTTCCCAAATTATAGAAGAGTGTTTAAACTTTGCCATAAAAATTAATTTACATATAAATGATTAAATATTTAAATAAAAATTAAAATTCTATCATTGTTGTAAATGTTAGATTTAATTTGCATAAAAAATTCTTTTGGATTTTGTTGTACTTAATTTGCATAAAGAATTCTTTTGGATTTATTATTATAACGCGTGATAAAAATATTATATTTGAATAGTTATGAATATTAGTTTTAAGAAGATTGAAAAGAGTATAAAAAGGCCAATTTTTACCATACAAAAAGATCTTTTATAATTATTAACTTTTTGTATTTTATTTTTTATTAATCTTTTTTATTATTTTTACTTTTATAAATTTGTTAATTTGATAATGTTATAATTTTGAATAAAGAGATAAATTGATTTCGTGATTCCTAATTATTATTAATTTCTTTATATATATATATATATGTTTTCTCTTTTTATATTTAGGTTTTGATTCACAATGACAAATCGCCTCACTGTGATAATCTCCGCATTGTGACAATGGTGTTGGAGAGAGGAGGCGACAGTACCATTACAACTTTCAGTCTAATGCCAACCAAACTCCATACAAAAGAAAGAAATTCAAAACGGAAAAGGGGTAAGAAAAATATGAATTTGACAAGATGATATTTAAAATGTAGGTTGAAAAAGAGAAATTATTTTGATAAGATTAGGTTTATGTAGGAATATAAAATCTAAAATTAAAGACAAAGGTAACATTCATAGTAGATAAGATATAATTGTGTTTAGTTATTTAAAGGTGATAATTAGGAATTTTATATTTAGAAGTTACTGGTAAACTAAAAACCATTGGAATTTGAAACTAATAAAGACTATGATATTTTAGATTTTAGAATTATTATTAATTGATCACTAGAAATAATTATGACATAGAAAAAGAAACATAAATTGCGAAAGTTAATATTAAACTAATAATTTGCTAAGATATAATAACTAAAAAATTCGGTGAATAAGATTAGAATATAACTTTATTGTTAGGAAATAGTTGATTAAATTCTTATTGAAGATTTACGTTTAACTTTTATTTTAAGGGCTGCGAGAGATAAAACAGCCTTAAGGATTAATGTGAATGTAGTATATTAGGTTGTAGATTAACCAAAAATCTTCATAAAGAGAAACGGCTTTCGTCATTAGAAAATTTATGCCGCAATCGAACTCAATTAGAGATCGGATTTTTATTTTTTTGAATCATAAATAAGATTTGAGATCAATTATGCAACATTATTCTAATAATAACAGAAAGAAAAACATGCTTTAGAAATATACATATCAGTTTTCAACAACGGTTGTGCGAAAAATTATAATGATTAGATTTCATAAGTTCTTCAAAGACGTGGGGTGAAAATCATAGTGGTTAGAGTTAAAGGGTTGTTCATAAACGTTAGTATGAAAACTTTTATGATTAGATGTCATTGATTTCTCAACAACGTATGTATGAAAAGAGATTTATATATTTCAGCAGTTTTTTTTAAAGACTTGAGTGTCAAAGAGTACATGAGGAAATAATTTTTTTAAAAGATAGATTTTGATATATATTTTAGAATAGGATTTTTAGATATAAATTTAGTATAGACATAGCTGAAAAGAAGAAGAGGATCAATAGCTAAAGGATGAGTACAAGTAAATTTTTCAATGAAAATATGGGTCTAGGCTTCATTAAGGGGAGAGGGGTGATAGAATTTGATATATTTTTATAATTTATTATATATATTTTTGTTACGTATTATAAATGTAAGATTTAGTATAATTTACGCCATTTATTAAAGGCAGGATTAGTTTAGAGGAGTTAAATGTAGACATTAGGATGAAGTTGGTATATTTATATATTTTATTAGTATAATTGTATTAGGTAGTTTATATGAGAATAAATATAAAAAGTGATAAAATATTTCAGAAGTTATTTAAATAGATTATTTTAGAAGATTAGATGTGATTACCCGATATCTCAGCAAGGGCAAACTGTCGTAGAAGACCCGGAAGTCTAAAAGATAGATACGATTACAAGAATTAGAGGCAACAACCAATCAATTACAAAAGAATGATAGGAAACTTACAAGAGAATGATAGGAAACAAGCTACGATAAATTGTAAAAAAGATTAAGACAGACTAGCAAAAAACAAGAGAGGAAAAGAAACTGGATGTCATCGATAATCGTTCGTCAATCGTGGATAGTGGAAAACAGGGGTGTATCAAGTTCGTCAGTGGCCTACAGAGATAAAAAGCTGATCGTTTCACAGGGTGACAAGCGACAGAAGATAGAATCCAAAAATTTCAAGCGACAATCGGGTACAAACGGTCGTTCGAAACTAAGAATACTAGACAAGAGTCAGCC